GATTTTCACTTACCACATGTTGATTATATGCTGCATGCAATTAGAAACGCTGCGGAGATTCAGGAAATAATCTCATGTATCCACCTCAGTCGCTTGACCCAACATGCTAGAGGGACAACCGGAAGTGGTACTACATTAGACCATGTAATTTTGATAAGGATCTCATTCGTCTATGTATTCATTGACAATCCTCTACCGGATTCTTATCACAAGGCGATGCTCTGTGACACGACTAGTGAATAACCTAATCCATAAAGTAAAATGAGAATACGCATTCGCAACGTTCATCGTCTGGACTGAAACTCATTTAGTGAACCTATCAGTACCGGAAACTGGAACACGTTATTTCTAACTCAAAATCCTGCTGTGGCTACAAACGCATTTATTTATAATATTGCACTTGGCGTAGATCTACTGACACCTATCTTATGGAAAAATACAAATAACAATATCAGTGAACTTAGGATTCTGTATAAAGCTACAACCAAACTGAAGAAACTTACAGCGCTATAGCGCAAGAGTAACAGCTTCGAAACATTGCTACATATACACGAGGCTCTACTACAACTACAACATCAAACCCAAACGGCAAAAAGCAAAGAAAGAACTCGGGGACATAGAAGTGCTAAAAAAGCACTACCTTGGTGCGATTACATGAAAGAAGAAACACTAAACCGTTCAGGAAATTGAAAAATTTTCCCTGGACGATAGTTTAACAAAGCGCGAAATTACTGCATATGTGAGGCTAGCCACTCTGGATTTGAATTCTGATTTGCCCCTAACAACCACCTGTGTCCTCCACCACTACCAAAAAGAACAAACGAGCTATTCGGTAAAATTCCGGTGATGTTAGAAGTGGTGCAATGTGCTATGGCATTCATAAAACCTTTAACTCATCTAGGCCCAGAAGGCATCTCTTCAAATGTAATAAAATTTGATGGAAAACACCTCAATTGAACATCTTTAGACCTCCTTTAAATACCGGCTGCACCTCATTTCAATGGAAGCTAACCATTATAGTGTTTAAGAACGATGGTGGTCCGCGAAATAAAACGTCACATTACTGCCCGATAAATCACACCTCTGCTAATTCCAAAGCCCTATAGAAATTAGTCGAGAACTTTGTCTAATTTCCTAAAAGACTGAATCTGTTCACTCCGTCACATGTCTTTCTTTCAAAATTCTGCTGCTTTACTTCTCAGGTACCTTTCTTCGATCATGTCACGACTATGACTGCCAGAGGAATGACAATCAGTATAATACCGTTGAACATGCAGAAGGCGTTCGACCGCGTGTTGTACCAGCCACAGCTGTCTGTCCCGGAGTCATATATGGCATTGGAAGTCATCTGCTAAAATGGTTAGAATCGGTCAGCAATACGGTACGCAAAAACGAATAATCTGCGAAGTCTTCTAGGCAAATGTGCTTGAGCCACTACATTTCGTATTTTAAGTAAACAACAAATGCGACCCGATCAAACGAAGAAACCAATTTCTGTTTGCAGGGACTTCAAACTGGTCTACTCATTTTATCCAGATCAACTACAAATATACTTGGGAAGAATCTGTGAGGACTTATCCGCATTTAAATATACCTATTAAATGTTTGTGAATGAAGTTTTCCGCAGTAAAAGCCCATGTATTGGATACAGATACCGCATCTCAGAAGGCTTTATCACACTTGCCGGAAACGTGATCCCAATTTCTGATTCAGTTCGGGACTTAGGAATTAGGCACTCCAAGTATTTTACTTTATCGGAACATGTGTTTTTCAGGTTTCAAAAAACAGCTTTGTGGATACATCACCGAAACTTTCTCCTAGCCTGAAACCCGAGGTTGGAATACTGTACTATCGTTCACAGCCAACTGAAAGACAGACCAGCTCTGGTAAATGTCCAACCATCTTTTAAAAGCTGGTCGAGGTGCGTTGCTCAAACATGAGTATTTATGATCGCTGCTGACAACCCTAAATTGATCCACTTTGGTTGAGGTTTAAATAACAAACTTTTCTTTTCCATTATTAACCAGTTAATCTATGTAGACTGGACCGAAACTGAGCTGTGGAAGACTGCCATGTACCACACACGCTTGTAGGTCATAAAACTAGATCGAATTTCTTCTTAGGGAGATACACAGATCTGTGGAACAAGCTGACCATACAGATAGCATGCGTGCGAACATTGACACATTTCGAAATTTCCCACAGACTCGCGTTAACACAACAAATGTGTTAAGGATTATTGGCAAACAACCATATCTGGAAGTATTGACCAAAGCTGATATAAAACATGTACGCAGCTAATTGCTTGTAATCCGCCTGCATATTACGTACCATTATCCGGAAAATAAAATCCTCTTTCCGTGCAACCTATTTCCCTCATTCTATAATAATAATAATTATTATCCACTCGTGGGCCTCACAAACTAAAAGGTGGTGCTACACATATAGGTACATTTTACATATTAGGTCATCGCCCCTTAGAACCCATTGAAAATACATAACCCGAAATTCAATTTTTACGTTTATTTATATTGCATAAACCATGAAACCTTTTCACTGTACAAATGAGCGCTACCGTTTATGAGGTCGTCTACCGACTGTCAGTAAATATAAGAAGTTATTAAAGAATTCATTTACATTTCGTAGGTCATTGAACCTAAGACAACTGTACACTAACAAAACATTATAATGATTTGTGCCTCATGCTGAGGTTACGCATACGTCATGCCTCTACACCGCAGTTAGGCTTAACCGACTTACATTTACACATAGACTAGATCTTTTTAACCTAAATAAAATGTATTCATAGTTAATAGATTTTCTCGGTTCTGCTACTATACTGCATATTCATCGTGAATATTGCGCATTTATTTTCTTTAGAATTCTGCCTTGGTATTTTGGGATCACCAGGTTTGTCTGCGCTTGTTTTGGATCTTATCAAGGTGCTTACCTCTAAGACATCCTTCACCTCGATTACTCGCTTCTGGATATTATGAATCACTGCTGAGGCGCCTGGGTGTGCCTTTCTCGTGGTAATGTTCGACTCGAAGTTCGGTTTCATCCAGTGTGGAGCGAACTACGGTCCAACCACCGCATGGTGCACGTCTGGTATGCATAATTCCCTACATAGGTAGGTAGGAACGTTGCTGTGCATGTTGAAGGAGTGTAAACCGGCAGCGCTAATGAAATATGGTTCCCATCCAGGTGCCTTCCGATCTTAATTTTGGTTTACATTGGATTTGAGGTGTGTAGATGGGGCTGTATTTATTACACCACAAGCCAACCATAGTCCCTAACTAACTGCATGTGTCCAGTTGCTGTTGGATGGAGACTGCATTGACAGGCAAATCCGGAACCGGATAGCTCCAACGATATGCCACGACCCCAATGCACTTTCAGCGATAGTAACTGATTAATAAGTCCCATTACTTGCATTGCCTTAGTAACACTTTAATTCGCATGTTTGTCGAAATAAAGGGAGCTGAATACCGCAGTTCTAAATCTCTGGCTGAAGTATTAACTGGAATGTGATCAACATGATTTAGAAATAATTCTGATTCTATATGGCATCCATAAGTCATAATATAGCACTTTGATATGGAGAAATACATCCGCCACTTTGCAGCCAAGCTCTCCATGTCTTGTAGTTTACATTTTATATTTGCTATCTCAGTTATGTTTCAGGATGAGTGGATCGAATGCACCACTTTCAAATTATTGGCAAATAATATGAGCTTTCGAAGATTATGATAGGTATATAATAAGGAAGTGGAACTTAAACGCTGCGTTGGACTAAGCCACTAGGAATTTGTTGGGGACTACATAAGAAGCCATATTTGTTCACTGTCTGGCAGCGTCCTGTTCGATAGGATTTGAACCAAGGCAGAAGTGAATTTGTTATACCAAAACCATCCAGTCTCAATAATACATCTTCTGTGCGGGAACCGATTGAACTATTTCTACGTGTTAGGACGGAAGAAATTGCACTGAATTACAGTATCAGTCGCCCAGGTGAGATTATATAGGAAATCAAGTTGAGAAATTAAACACAAACGAGAATTTAAAAAGCCTACATTGTGTGTGCCAAAGCAGAATGTGCGACAAGAGGAATGAAATGCATTTTTCCTTAAAATAGCTCTCCATCAAAAGTGATAGGATGGACCTGTGACTAATGGGGGATAGTTAAAGATATCTATTTTGGTCGAGATTTCTATCACGGTATTGCAATAAAATTTCTTCCATCATTCATGATACTGGCCCGAATCTAAGCACAGGGTAAAATATTCAGTATTGGTACCGGGATATCATCGCCACCGTAGTTGGTTACATCTGAAGTGATAAAATCGGGACAAGAGTTATAGGATGGCCGAAGCAAGTTAATCTAACTTTTATTGACTCTGATGTTGAAGTTAACAACGAAAATCTTTCTGAGATGTGGGATGAGACTGTAGGCAAAAGAACCGCATATTCGCTGCTGAAACATTCAACAATGTATACACTTAAGGAATACACCATGACAGTATGCGTGCTGATGACCTTGTCGCCTGGAGTGATATTGAATGAAGCTAGGTATTTCCGTCGCACATTTTACTTTTTCAACAAGATACTTAGCTCACCAACTTTGTTGTTGCGTTGTAAAATGCCTTCCTTATTTTGTCTAAGGTGCATAGCAAACCTGGCACCTTTATAGATGCAACATCGCCCATAAGTCACGAGCTTTTTCACAAGTTCCCAGTGGTAGGTCAGATCAAATTCAAATCCGCACAGAAACGAAACAAATTGACTTGTTCGGGAAGGTAAGTGCGCAATTTCCCCAAGTAACCGTGTGTCTTGTAACAGAACAGTCTCAGTTACAAGTAGATTAGAGTTCTTCTGTGTTGCAGAACATTTGTTACTACAGCTTGTTTCATACCACTCACACGTCCCGTGATTATTTGAGATCGATAAATTCAAATTAGCACTCAGCCGTGATTTTAACTGTAATCATAGTGTTTTCATACCCACGTTGGCCCGTGCAGTGTTTCGCAAATATACTTCTCGTCCGGAGCGTTGTCTTTGGACTCGCATGGCGCAATCTAAGAAGCTGATAAGTCGAACCCCTGGGGACACTACAGATTCTGGCGACGGAGGTGTCGCACAATAATGTCCGTTACATTTGGGCAGATGCAGCAGCTTCTCTATCAGCAGCAGCTACAGTTCGAGAAATCAAAGAGACAATTGCTCGCGTTATTTGCGCAGAAGTTGGACGTTCAATCTGAGCCCCAATCTGCTGGCACACGATCTTCAGTAGACGCGGTCACGACAGCAATCACAGAGTTCGTTTTCGATGAATCAAACGGAGTAACTTTTGATTCCGTGTTCAAGAAATATGAAGATCTTTTCCGCGTTGAGTTGGTGGCGCAACCTGATACATACAAAGTTCGGTTGTTGATGCGTAAACTTGGTGCAGTTGAGCATGAAGGTTATACCAATTTTGTGTTGCTAAAGAATCTAAGAGAGTTCCGCTTCGATGAGACTGTGCAGATTCTGACGTCCATTTTCGGTGAGCAAGCATCTTTGTTCAGTATCCGTTATAACTGTTTAAAGTTGCTCAAACGTGATAGCCATGATTTTATGACACATGCTGGAGTTGTGAACCGAGAGTGTGAAGGTTTCAAACTCGGTACCATGACACCTTTTCAGTTCAAAGGTCTCATATTTGTTTGCGGTCTTCAGTCTCATGCCGATGCTGATGTGCGCACATGCATCCTACACACGTTAGAGCAGGAACCTCATTTGACATTACAGGACATTGCTGCTGAATGCCAGAGACTGATTAACTTAAAGCATGATGCCAAAATGATTGAAGATGCTGACCCCAGGAGTGAACCACAGATTTACCGCACCGCTGTTCGAGGTGAAAATGTGTAAAATATGTAATATTAAGTAACACAGCTCGCTAAACATACAGACACAGATTTGCTTAAAAATACTAATTAGTACTTGAGTCTATATTAGTCGCATAGCTATCCGCAGTATTTACTTCACAACGTGATTTACAGCATCCTTTGATAATACGAGGGTTGGCGGAATGGGTGGAGCGTTTCCAAAATTTGAGTTAGTTTGGGAGAGTTTAACATATACCAGTGAGTTAATATTGTGGCGTTACTCAAGTGAGGTGGTAAGGGAGGTGGGGCAGGTGTAAGGAGGGATAGGAGGGAGTACCATCTATTGTTATAGTGGAATTACATGGCGCAATGTACGGAGACTCCGTAAGCGTCTCCCGACGGCTTTATTATTTGCGTATCAAGGTAGCCTAAGTCTGTTGTTATTTTTGTCCACGGTAGGAATTATGGGGTTCACCCTAACCCATCAAGACACTTGCTAGGAATAAAATGATTTTCGATGAGGATGGGTTATCAATAGTAAATGGCATGTTTTTAGATACTATCCTTCGTGAGATGGGTGTAACTATCGATGCATTAGCCGCACTGGCGTTTATTCACCGTGAATCAATCGAGGATAATTTTGTCACCGTTCTGTGACAATCACGTGCTGCTAAGAGATATCTACTTAATGCTTGCGGCTAGGAAGAAATACAGATTGTATTTCTACAGACGGGGCTTGTATCATATTTGAATATGAGACGACATCATTTGTACTGTTAATGTCCTACGAAATTTCTCCACAGTAGTTGGAGAGTAATTGGTGGCTTCAGATGATCTAAGTTGACAGTGTTGCTTAACGGGTCAATGGAATCAGCTCTGGGTGTTAACTTATTCAACAATTTTTAGCGCGAAACAAGTAGAATTGCTTTTCGTGTGATTGGGTAAGTTACTGTTAGATCTATCATAACGAAATTCACGTTGGAGCGGGTCTTGTCTTTAAAATTAATACCTTGTTAAATCCCGGAATAGACCTTAGAGATTTTTGATTTGAAATTAACCTGCTAGCAAAATGTATGCTACTGAAGCAGAAAAGCGTTCAGTTTGGATGATGTAGCCTTTTCCGTAGTCTGTTACGGTTGATATCAATTATCGGTATGCTATAGTTCTTTGCTTCCGCATTCCTGATATTTGTGAGCTTCATGTCGTCCGGTATGTTGCGGGCGCTAGCATTTTTGGTTGGCTTGCAATTTTTAGTTACATCAGAAGCTACAGAATTTACGAAACTCATTGCCACATTAACATGACTGTACTCTGCTGTTATGGTGGATCAAATGAGTAAGGAACAGATGTCGGGCTATCCGCAAGAGAAACCAGCCGCGAAAGTTTTACCTTATTTTCATCTAATTGCTCTTTCGATAATTCAGTTCCTTTTGTTACTGAGTATACAAGAGTAGTAATGCCTGCTGTATATTTACATGCGACGCGTTTATAGACGCATGAACTCAGTATGATATCACAATAGAAACGTTTCACAGTAGCCCAGCTTAGGCGACGAATTGCTGAGAGTAAGGAGCAATATCCAAGCATTTTTTGAAGAAATCCATATTACGAGTGGAGGTAACTGATTTCGAGATGAAGTTCCTAGGTTGATAAACCCCCCACAGGTACGTAATTTCGTTCGTGTTTTGGATCATTGCATTGCTCACTCAGTTTCAAGCCGTTACTTCTGCGTATGGTGTTGTTACTTTGTTTCAACAAATGGGGGCATACCTGATTGCCGTCACTAACGATTTGGTAGACTAACATGAGACCACTGGGTAGATATCGGCAGTAGCCGCCGAAAACTCCGAGTAACTTGAGCATTTTCAGATAAGAACACGTGCGTAGACCCTTATACTTCATTGTCGTCATGCTTTATGGTGTCTACAGGATCGCTCTTCAAAAAAGTTGCTAGGCTTGGGCAGCCTACTCAAGGAGGGGACGCACGTATGTGTTATTCATTGCCGGGAATATTGATTGGCCAAATCTCACCGACCCACTATCCGAAGGGCGACACGCTGTCTACCTCGCCTCGCAGCTGGTTCAGACTGTTTTGAATAGTTGAGGTTACTCTGCACGGGCACGTCAAGGTCGCGTTCCTGGGAGCTGATCTGCAATCTGTTTGCCCCAAGCCATTACATGTAGTTATGCATATGACGTAGATGGATAACTCGAAGTTTTGCAACATTGCATGGTAGGGTATTCTAAACACATGGTAAGATCACCTTGCAACCTTTTTCGGTCGTCTGGTTCTCTGATCGGTTGCCATAGCTTGCCATCATCTTCAAAATCTAGGCGATAGATGACTAACTAAGAATCTACGAGGCTCGAGCACCGTGCTCTTAGGTATGCCACACCCAAACCATATTGCAACGGACAAGGATTCCCGTAACCTCATATCCACCAGACATTCATGTAGAAAATCGCCTATCCAACGCATGATTGCGTCGCTGATTCCACAGTTCCGGAAATTGCGAAGCCGAAGATTTATATAACGTATTTCTAGCGGCTGTCCTTGAAGGCGTGAAGTCATCTTTGCTCATATTTGCTGGCGATTCAAATAGGTTTGATATCAGCTTCGCTACAAATCACGCGCTAAATTGCATACTGCATACTTCAACACTATATTTGTTAACAAATTGAAAATAATTGTGTCTTTAATCAGGCACCGCTCTAGAGTTATGATAAAGTTATTAATGTTGTCCCCTGTTAGCTATAGCAAGGTGACTCCAAAGACTTCATGAGTCGCACAAACCTAACGTTCAGGCAGAGGCAATGCATTTTTCGGGACATTAGACGAGTGCGGCAAAACTAATCATCGGTTTCAGGTATTGACCTATTGCTCCCAAACCTTTGAACTTTTATCCATCGTATGTAAGCGACTGAAGAGAAAACGCGAAGTATACGGAAGACAGCTTTTGTTGTCCTTAATCTGTTATTATTTTTGAAGGAAAACAGCTGTATGCAAATATATTCCGTTGTCCTGCTGATGAGTCATTTCATCAAAACGAAATTTTCATATAATTTGAGGAGAAATTCTTCACAAATCATCACAAATTCTGGTGTACTTCTGGAGTACTTTTGTCCCAAATTTTTTTTGCATCAATAAAACAGAAATCCCTGTTTCTGGCAAAATAATGTTTTCCGAGGTAAGTGCATGCCTTGGTTTTGGGTGTAGATAAGCCAATGGTAGTGCTATTGGTCTGGTTGCAAAAACAGAAGAAACCTACGCTTTGGTCCCAACACCACTTATTTTGGATCGCTCTAAAACCAGACGGAAAACAAGCAATTATATCCTCTTATCACTGTTAGAAACTATAGGTACCTGAAACTCCTTACCTAGTGTCCACAAACTTGCATCTACAGCCAAGTTGAAATCTTTCAGGTCAGTGAAGTACTTGGGGTGATGCTTGGCAGTGGTCTTACGTGGTCCCTTAGAATAAAAACGACGTTCAGTATGATCAAGATACCCCAGTTCTTGTTAGTCGTCGCAGTAATTCCGCGTTACTTTGATGTTTGATCCTTCGTTTTATCACGGCTTAATTGCTGCTGTACTAAAATAGCTGCCGTCCACTTGTCGTTGCTAGCCTCTTTATTAAAGGCCTCAGAATGATTGCCAAGCCAGTACATCTATTTCCATGAACTGATATTACAGCTGAAAACTCAGCATTTCTGGGGGCATAAAGTACAACCCTAACTTTACGAAACTACTCGTAGGAGAAACTTGGGCACTGTAAGGAGTACAAGAAAAAATAGTCGATACGATCCAAGACAAGTGAATGGTCTTCTTGACAAAATGCGTGTATTTCATCGCAACCCACAACTAAATTTTATTCAGTCAAGGACTGTGTATAAACTTATTGTCAACCAAGATTACTGTTTTATCGCGTATCCCGATGCGATCCTTTAAAGGTGGATGCATTAATGTTATTCTAGTACAAAAAGCGAGACAAAAGATTACAACTGCTTTTCAACCATTATCATCATCAACAGCAATACATAAGACAGTTGCACCCAAAGTTCGATGCCGTACAGCTACAGTGAATTAAGAAACGAAGAAAAATGAGGGTTAGCGCAAATCCTTGGTGTCCTAGATATACATCAAACTCCAAGGCGCATACAAATTGTTAATAAATTACCATAATAAATAGGTGGACAGCACAGATGAAAAAGGCAGCATCGTAGAGAGTTTGCTTGCGGGCTTTTACTGCTCCGTGTAGTAATCAACTATTACCCTTTGGAATACTCAGCATCAAACACACTTCCAACTAGTAATCCTGCTATGAGAGGACAACCAGTACGCCACTCTTGCCAACTGCGAGCCATGTACTGGAACATATCGAGTCAAGCACAAATCCGGTCTAGTGATCTCTAGCCTGGAAGATGAGGCGGAACAACAGCATCGAGTTTGGTCGCCAGGGACTTCATTTCCCGCTGCAAAGTTAACTTTCGCTCAATTCGGGACTTCAGCCTCCTATACCTGGCAAAACACAACAAAGCCTTTCTCGATAAGCGATGACCGGACATATGTAGTACGTGCCCTAGCCAGCGCTACTTATTCAGTGCTATTTGCTGTTATAGGATATCATCCAGCTAACCACCGCCTAACAATCGCCTACGCACAGCATTATTAAGGA